GTCCCGTTGCCCTAGTTTGGGAGCCAACCATGCTCACCTTACTATCGGATCCCCTTTGCAACCCAGCTCTCTCATCAGGGTCGGATTCGTTTCAGCTTCCAGAGCAAACCAAAGTGTTCTCGCTTCCCACACCCCGTAGGGGCTTTGTTGGGCTACTCAAGGTGCACAGCCATCATTTGGACAGAGCCCAGCGTCTCCTCTAGGATCTCGAAGCTCGGGAGGCTTCCACTTGTCTGGACGTTCAACAGGCAGTATGCGAGATCAAGGATCTCCTACTCGACGATGGCCAATTTGTTTCGGGTAATTGGCATGCCTACGGCGACGTTTGGCATCGCCACTTGTGTAGCATCCCCAAGTGGCCTCAATGATCGAAAGTGTTATGGTGGATTGCCCAAAACTACTAGATCGATTGAGTAACACCAGATTGCGGCTGTCAGGAGCTGCACCCATGCTTCAAAGCTAAACGGGAGGAAGTGCACCAGATGCTCTGCCAATTCATGCCCGGGTCTCAAGCTAGAGCCTACCTACAAGGATTGCATCCTCATCAAGTCGTCTTTCCAAATCGCCAGTCCACATGGACACACGAAGAATTCACTGACGCATCAGTGCATTCATTGGTAGAGACGGGCATGGGCATGGAGTACGATGCTGAGGTCCATCCCCTAATTCAGGTGGTCAATCCCTTGGCGGTGGTCATCCAACGCACCAAATACGCCAAGTGGTCGACCTATGCTACGCCAATCAATTCGTATGGTATGAATCCATATGTTACGAGCAGCTCAATGATGTTTTGGTCTTTCTTTCCCCAGGGGATTATATGGTTACTACAGACCTAAAAGCTGGGTATCACCACCTGCAGGTCAACCGACCGGAGTGGCCTTATCTAAGCGTGCACTGGAAGGGGCGGACACTTTTGCTCATGCACCTTCCCTTTGGCCTCGCATCCGCATGTGGGGCTTTTACCACAGTTATGATTGCCTTCTATAGACCTCTACGCCTCTATGGGGCCACCATGGTACATTTGATCGATGACCGTTTAGGGCCGGGCAGTACACTAGCCCTCTGTACCCTAGACGGACTCATTCTAGCTTTGACCAGGACTGCCCTAAATTTCTTCTTCTTGTCTAAGAAGGCAGATTGGCTCCCCAAGCAGAAGCAGCGTTTCTTGGGCCTCATCGTGGACACTAGCACTCAGCGCTTTTGTGTCCCAGAGGACAAGCGTCATTATTTTATAGAATTGATGCATTCCTTGCTAGCCCAGCCCTGCGTCATAGCTCGGCAGCTGGCCCGGATAGCTGGACTGATCCTCTCCATGAGCATGGCCATGAACTTGTGTCCCATGTTCACTAGGCGTCCTTTCCTTGCTATTGCAGACCATGAACGTTGGGACACATTTTTTGACAGCTCGGACCAGATTCGTGAGGAGCTGGAATGGTGGGTTGCTAATTTCGATGCTGCGGAGGGTTGCCGGTGGGCCACGGTGCATCACACAGTCGTGGCTATGGGTGATGTATCAGAGATGCACGTGGGTGCCTTTTTCCCTGGCGGTGCTCTGGCACGCCCACTCCAACTTCCATTGCCGGAGGCATTGCTGGGTTCTAGTAGCACTGCCATGAGCTCTACACCATGTACTGTGTGCTCTACGCACTTCTCCGTCATGCCCCATAATTACTTCAGGCGCAACATCTCTTGTAACATACTGATAGTATGGCCAATACCTATTGCGTAGCAGGACAGAATGGGCAAGGTGCATGTTTGGAACAAGTGCATCAAATCCATCTACTAGCCTGGCAGCATGACATCGATGTCGACCTTGTGTGGTCTAACTGGGAGGACCCATGGCAGGTCTGTGCCGAACTTTTCAATAAACTGGAGGACCCTTTCGACTGGGGTTTTGCACCGGAGGTAGTGCATTGGGTCTGCCACCGTTTTGAGATAGATCCGCAATGGGTCACACTGGATGCCTTTGCATCTATATCTACATTGGTATGTGCCCGCTACTTTTCGAAATTTTTTGATCAGTGCTTGGCAGGGGTCGCCGCCTTTTCCCATGAGTGGGACGTTCCTCACGGACAGGTGGTGTGGGTCAATCCCCCCGCCCGGCTCACTGGACGGGCGCTACACTATTTGCTTGCACACCTGTGCCCCTCCATCCTAGTCTTACCCACAGTGCACAGAGCATGGGAACCTCTCGTTGGGGAATTGTCTAGTGCCCAAGGGCCGCTGGTGATGCCCGGCAACATCCAATGGCAGGGCGCCCCCCTTTTTCCCTAGTTCTTCTAGGGTGCATTGGCCCCGCGCCAGCACTGGGATCCCAGTCCGGATTTGGTTGTTCCAGCTGGGATTGGATGAGTAACCCGACTGACAGGCATGTTTGGTTTATATGAAAATATTTTGTGCTAGGCGTTCTTGCAATTCTCAGATCGGGTCTCCCCATTCGATTGGCTCTCTGCCTGCTTCTTTTTCCCTGACCTGCTCCTGCTGTCAGGCCTGCAAGCGGCGCGCCCCTTGCACTTTCTTATGCTAGTGACTTCCGCGATCCACGTATCGCTCTACTATCTCAACGTTCTGTAATAATGTGTCTTGGCAAATCCGTGATGCATCCATCCCTAGAGTGTGGTAGCGATGTTGCAGTGAGCCCCGCTTCTGGCTATAATACATTAACTCCGATGATCCTCCTACTCTCTGTGCCCATACCCTGGTGACGCGCGTTGCCTCTGTCACCGTCATGGATGTTGCCGTAGGGCCCCATCCTCGTTCCCAGCCTGGCAGCAATAAATTCACATGCTCCAGTTGCTGCTGTTGTAGCCACTCTCCAAAGCGGTCAAACCAATAGAGGAATCCCAGTGGTGCTTCGGGTTGCAGCATAATTCGGCCTGGTCAGAATTCTGTACTCGTTTTCAAAGCCCAGACATCCAGTAATAGTGGCCCAGTGCGCAATTGCCTTCCTTGTCCAGCCATCCACACGGGCTTCCCATCTGGGTCCACTACCATAGAACGGGTGTATGGGCCCAATTGGGGCCATATCCGTTGTCCCGTTTCCCACAGGAAAGACAACATGAGTGCATCACGGCTTACTCGCCCTCGCTGCTCGGGGTCACCAGCCACCTCGAATGCCTCTTGGCAAGCTTGCAATATACGTTGGTAGGTCATTTCGGGCATGGGTTTGGCGCTGCTCTGTCCCACACCCTGGAGGTGCTGTGCCTCCCTGTAAGCACACTTCTAGGCACGTACCACCGCGGCCCGGCAAGGATTCCCATGTCGTTCCTCTTCCTGCCATTCGCCCTCTACTCCGCTGCGGTCGAACCATCCTTGCAGGTAGCTTAGTTCCTTCTCCACCGTATTGAAGTGCAGGACCTACTCCCCATGCTCAATCCATGTTCGTGCTTGCTGCCAATGAAGGCGTGTGTACTGTTCCAAGAAGACGACGACATCTTCTGGGCCCATGTGGCCATCCAGATCCCCCCATCTGGGGGGGGCGGTTCTCCCACCAATCTGCAAATTCTTGTTCTATCTTGCCCAATCGTACGGGTAGCTTTGCTTGATGGATGAGGCGTCAGCGTGCCTCATGCACGGCTGCGGCCTCCTTGTATTGTTGTCTCATGGTCGCCTCCTCTAGTTGCTGGCCCGCTTGCCCGCTTGTCACGGGCCCTGGCACCCTTTCGCGCAGGGCGCTGGCTGCCTAATCCACAACACTTCACTTAGACCTTCGAGCCTCTGCCCCGGCGGCCCTACATTTGGGCTGTACAGATTGGGTGGTGTCAGGAGAAGGGAGGGCCCCTAAGGCCTCTGGACCGCAAGCTCGACCCTAATGAGGTCGGACGGTCCGGCTAGGGGCGCTCCGGTCCATGTGACGCCACTTCTAACCTTTTTCCGGTATTGAGGGAAAGGGGCAGGACCGCAAGTTCCGCCCCCGACCCTGTGCCTGGGTTTATGGCAACCCATGAAGGTCGTAGCAGGTGTAACTCGTGATGACGCAGTCATCAGGGTTTGCGCTGAGCGGAACTCCGAGTGTTGCGGCAACGGCGCCAACGACAGCATTGATTATACGATAAAAGACATTAGTTAAGAACGACCACTACGTGTGTGCATGCGTGCATTTCTACACTACTGCGTGTAGGAATCTGGACCCATGGGTAGCGAACTGAACGAGCCTCTGCACACTCAAAAACCGCAACTGTGCATCTCCAATTGTTGGGGGAGCCTCATCCTATTGGATGGCCCGACCGGCCGCTCGGGAATTACACAGGCGTCTCCCTTGTTTACAAGGATCCTCCTCAGCCCCGCCGGCCAGGTCCCCATGCTTGGTCGAGAGCTGTGCCCCTGACCACACGCCCTCAACAAAGCCAACAAATATTTCACGTCCTGAACAATCCAGTGTACAAGGGGTACATCCTTAGCGCCTGTGTAGAACTGAAGCGTACGACAGGCTGCCCAAACGCTGGCCAGTGTTCTCATCTAATCCCTTGCTCCAGGCCCACGTCCTCCCCCCTGACCGCTGTGCTTTGTCACCTCAACACACGCCATCAGGCCCGTCAGCAAACCGATAAAGTATTGCACAGGCCATGGAAGGCTCTGAACGCATGCGCACGAATCCCAAGCCAACAAATATCCCAGCCCGCCCCGAGTCTTGCAGCCCCTAAATAATTTCCCTCTCCCTCTACCTCGTCTCCCATTCCTTATCCACGAATGAGGGCAACACGGCTTGACCCATCCAAAAAGGGCCCAGCCACTGGCAAAGCGTTTGAAGCGAATTATTTGGCTCCTAATGGGGAGGGGGACGCAGCGGCCAGCGCCCTACTGAGGCTTTCGCCACCTGATCCACCCACGCCCAACCTTCCAATAATGTTTTTCGGTCATTTGGTCAAAAAGCTATGGGCACTGCGTGCCCCGTCCGGACTACCCTTCCCCCAAAACTTATGTACAGCTGTGCTCCCGCTTGATCAAATCCCCTCCAGCCCTGGTGTTGGACTCCGACAGCGGGGGACACCCCCATCGCCTCATTTATTGACATGGCGAATAATGTCGGCAATCTCTGTGGCGTTCTGTTCTTCCAAGGCAATCAGCTCGCCCAGGTACTTCTTCGCGAGGTCTTGAATGTACAGGCGCTGATTGGCCATGTTATCCCCCAGGGCGCTCAGCATTGTCACTTGCTCCTCCTCAATCTCCTGCAGCCGCGCATCCCTGGTACACAAACAGCAGCAGCCGCCCATGAGCAACATGCCAATGCTGAATGCCAAGTTTGTGCACTTCTGCCCCTGTCCTCTTCAGACGCAATGAAAGGCTGCCTGTAGAATCGCGGATTCTACAGATGCCACGCGCAAGAAGAAACAGGCACGAGGCATGCAGCCCTCAAACTGTTATCATTTTCTTGTAGTTTTGTTTCGGTTCCGGAGGTGTGCATCGTCCTTATTCCAAATTGGGATGGTGCCGTTGTCATTGCGTCATGTTCGAGATTCCAGTGTGATGCAAGGACGTTGGCGCACCGCCCTTTTGGCCTCTATTCAGCTTTTAACGCCTGCAAACGACAAGATCACGGGAACCTCAACGAACAAAAGCCGTGGCTTCTAGAAGCCCTACGCACCTCTCTTTGATAGCCTCTCGAAGTTCAGCAACTTCCTTTGTTCGGGCCTCCTTCTCCGCTGCCCTCCCTGCGCATTCCTCAGCAACCCGGGCCTCTGCGGACTGGCACTCCTATTTCCACACCACAGCACATTTTCATACACACCTACTTGCACCCACAGCAACAACAGTGTGCCACATGTTGGGCATCCCCACCCCGGCTTACACACTTGGGACTCGTTGTGCCATGCCACAGAAATTACCTCGTTCAAACAGATCCCCAAAGTGACACCCAGTTCCCATGACGAAACATGCACTCAAGCTTGAAACAGGCACAGCAAACCCGGCCACTTGTAGGCAGGGGCAATAGAAGGTGCAAGGCAGTACATTGGGCAGTTCCTACCACTCCCCTCCTGTAGTTTGAGAAGTCCGTGTGCCATTACCCCGATGCCTGTAGCAATTGTCCCACAATGCGCTCGAAGTGAAAGGGCACCGCGTTGCCCAGTTTGTCATTCTCCGTCCCAAGGAGGCCCCACGTCAAAAGAAAGATAGTCCACAGCGGCGCGCTTGCATGCTTAACACTTTTGCAGGCCTCCCATCGCCATGACTCACCTGCAGCAGCGCCTCCCGCTCCTGTGCCGCCTCCTCCTGCAGCTTTGCCATCTCGACGCATTTCTCAGAGAGCTTGGTCTCACACTCAGCCTGCAGGGCCTGCATCGCTGCTTCCCCGTCCTTCAGCCGCTGTGTCAGATCCACGATCTCCTTGTCCTTGGTGGCCTGGATGTTGGAGAGCTGGAGGTTCATCTCACTGACCAGCACCGAGCGTAGATTTTCGAAGTCGGCCACCTTGGCCTCATGGTCCTCTTGCATGCGCCGCATCGCTATGTCCTTCTTGTGGATCTGGTCCTTCAGAACGGCAATGTCCTGGTCCGTGGAGGCCTGCTGCTGCGCCAGCTGGACGTTCAGGTCGTTCCGCAGGGCGCAGCACAAGTGCTCGAAATCTGCGTCAGTTGGAGATCTGCACTCTTGTCAAGCACTTTCTGTGAACCTTTGTTTCGCTGCATTTTGGCATCATTGTTCGCAGACTGATGATTTCGGTGCTATGCACAGCTGTTCGCAGGGCTGCATTCGCACATCATTCTTGGATGCATATGTCACAAAAGAAATAACCTCCCTATTCCACTCTCAGAGTGTTGCAAGGCAGGCTGTTGGCCGAGGCTATTGAGTCAGAAGAAAAGCACCGTCAACAAGCGTTATGAGAACTGCACTGAGTGCCAGACAACACCCCACAGCAAAGGACAGCGCAGGCTGGTCAACAACATCATATTTTCCAGCCATGTGTGCACATCATATACTGCAATCCGGACAATCTCTGATGTAACACCCCACTACGGAAGGGCACTTGACATGCTTCACCCCTGGATCAGGAATTCACAAGTAAGATGATAAACCTGCAGACAATGATCGCGATGCACAGCACCTTGCACAGCCTCTGCATGCTCCTTCTGGGCAGCCTCATGCTTCAACGTGAGCTCGTCCAGCTGCTCCTCACAGACTCCATGTGCCCGCTTTGCAGTGTCCACCTCATTCTTGGAGTCCCTCAGCTGCTGTTCCCAATATTCCTTCTCTGCTGCATACTTCTCTGATAGCGCTTTGCAGTCCTTCGCTGTAGCCACGCCAAACACATGGGCACATTCAGCACTCAAGTGCCTCGAAGTTGCACTGCATCCATCCTAACTCACAGCCTAACTTAGCCAAAATACTGTCCCTTGTCAATTTGTCCACTATTTAAGCTTCAGAAAAACCTGAAAATCGAAGAATCGTAATGATTCGTGCAAAAAAATAGATGCACTGGACTGAACCTGCTGCATCCATGTGTTTAGTTGGAGAGAGCATCACAACATTCCAGCATTGTGTGAGGGGCATGTCTTCCTTTACCCATAAGATGCGTTCCAATCGAACACACACAGTACACGATACAGATGCTTTAGACACCTTGTGTTGTGCTTCTATTCATTGTTTGACACTGCCAGGCTGGCAGTGTCAGCTTGGTGAATGGGCTATCAATGGAATCGCACACATTGTACAGAAGCAATACTCAAACCATCGTTGTTTGGCCATCCACCTATCAGCCCTGTGCTTCTCATTGCAGGGCAAGGGAATACTAAATGCTCTATTCAGTATTTTAAGGGGAGAGACATGTCTCCTCGAATCCTCATTAAGGCCAGAACAGCACCACCTGTCCATTCCCCAGACTGCAGCAATGCATACCATTCCAGATTAACTGGATGGTACGCTACATTGATCGATGCCGTGACGTCATGTCCATGCATCCATGTAAGGAAGAAACAAACAAACATTTCAGATGAACACCTCAAACTTGGAGCTGTGCCACCAACATTGCCCCACCTATGCAATTGGACACAAATCACCAAGGTTGTTACCACATACACTGACTTCGCAAAAGCTGGTCCCACTCACATGCCTCCCTCACAGCCTCCTCTCTCAATTTCGACCTCTCCTCCTGAATTCTCACAGCTGCTGCCTTCAGCTCCTCCACAATGCCCTCCAACTGTGCGATCCTGGCATTCGCTATCTCCAGCTTGCTGTCCTGCTCTGCGATCGTACCCTCCTGCTGTGCTATGGTTGCCTCCTTGCGGGCGATGCGGATCTGCATATCGGAGAGCTGGACGCCCTGCTGAGTGATTTTTGTCTGCTGCTGTGCTAGCTTGATCTGGTTCTGGCCAATGCTGGCCTCCATCTCTTCGATGACCTCTTCAGAGGCCTGTTCGTATTCCTTGACCACTCGCTTGCCCTCCTCTTGTGCCTCCACTACCTCTTCCTCCAGGTCAGCGATCCGCTGCTGCAGCTCCCTGATTGTGGAGGAGGAAGTTGCCCGCAACTCCTCCAGCCCTTCATCTTTGTCGTCCTGCCGCGCCACAAGGCACTCGATGCGCTGTTCTTGGTCCTCGATCGTGACCTTCTGCTCCTTGATGGCTTCCTGTTCGCATCATGCACTGGGTTGAGACAATGTGCACAGCAATCGACTGTCATGCCCCGATGCTCAGCAGGTTATGGATCGAGACACCGCAAGGCAGTCAACAGCAGCTGCTCATTCCCAAATGTTTAGCCACAGCATGGCCCCACACGAATCTCGATTGCAGCAAGGACCAACTGGACATTGCCTGCAACCATGCAGAACCATGCCTGGGGATGCAAATTTCAATATTCCTGGCCCCCGTGCTGCCTGTCTGCAAGACCCACTTGCTGGCAGTGGCACAAACCTCTTGCACTTTGTTGGCCTCCTTGAGCTCCTCCAGCTCTTTCTTCAACTGTTCATTCTCCTTTGCATACTGGTCGGAAGTGCTCTCTGCCTTCTCCAGCTTGGTCCCCAGGGTCTCCTTCTCAATAGACAGCTTCTCAAGGCTCTGCAAAAGACACATATTCCACAGAGATTGAATAACACAAAAACTGTTTGATGCCCCATTCCAACTGGCCTGAAGGTTGGCAAGCATCCACAGCAGTCACATGTGCTTCCAGCAAAAGCTTGGATTGAAACGAATGCATGGCCTGCATGGAAATTTTTGCTCTGGTAAGGAAGCCATGCAGCAAGTTGATGGTAGTGCACAGGTCAACGAGAACAGGTAGCACACTAACTCTTGCAGAACATGCAGATTGCGACAGAAGTGGAGTACCAGTCTGTGAGTCCCACCTGTTTCACTTCATCGATCGATATGTTACTATCAAATGACTTTGGCTCCAACACCATGGCTTCGAGGGACCTTGAGGAAATATCAGTTCCAGTCAGTTTGTCGGCGTCACCATCGCTCAATTCAAGAGACACATCTGCCAGCCAGGGAATTGTCTCTGTTGGCATGCTCTGTATTCGCAGCTCGCGCTCAGCACTGGTATATCCCCTGTCGGACAAAGTCCTCATCAACTGGCGGCCAGCAATGGGCACCTGCAGTGAATGATTGAAGCAATGTCAGACAAACCTCCTGCCCAGTCAACTGTGAGCACCTGGAGTTTTCTTGGTCGTCCAAAACAAACGTTCATCCCGGCCCATGAACAGGCACCAGAAAGGACGGGTGGTTCTGAAGACTGGCCACTGAATGAACAAAGGACACCCACTACGACAGTGAAACTGCAACAGGGATGGAGACCACTTGCAAAATTGCAAAACACTGCAAAGTGACGGCAGGACCTCGATTTTGGACAGGCACCTCACAGCTTCCTGAATACGGACCCATGCCTAAAACATCATCTTGTCCTGTTGCAAGGCACAGCCCACTGTTGTCCATAACAGTTGGAAGACGATCAATGCCATGAACATGTTGCAAACTTTGCATTATGCCTTTCACGACTGCATCGCACATCACACATCTGCTTTACACAATGGTGATGAAACCAAGAACAGATCATAGCACCCACAAAACACAGCGCTTGCTCGCCCACACGCCTGCACATTACCTCTGGCGATCCAGCACGCTTGGCCCTGACGGCGCGCTTCCTCTTCTTTTGTGTCATGTCCTCAAAATGCCCAACCGACATTTTTGGGGCAGTGGCTCCCCTTATCTCAGCATCGCCCTCAGCACGAAATCCCACAAGTGCTGAGGCATATGGATCGGTTCTCAAGTTAAGTTTGGATGTGGTGGGGACGAAGTCAACCTCGTCTTCACAGGGGATGGCATTGATTCGCCGAACAATGTCCGCAAGGTCCACAGTCCACATCCGGCCAGAGTAGAGATGAGACCCCGTGCAACCTCCAAAGATGTACATGGTGTCTCCGATGACAGCAGCAGTGTGAGCAGCACGCCCTGTGTAGGCACAGTGACAATTGGCAGTTTGTAACCTTCTAGTCTCATTATCTAATTGGTGGACAAGCCGCTCGCACTGAAATTGAAAAGCATGCAGAATGTCGCACACACTTGCAGTGACAGAAGGCCTTTCAGTACAATATCAGCCACTGGACCAACTCGTTGAAAGACAAATGCACAAGGAACAAACACAATAGACACAGGTGAAGCAGGTGCCCAGAGTGGCAAAAAGAAGCCGATTCAGTTTTCCCTGTTTACCTTCCATGCGCTGATCGAAGACGTTCGGCACCTTTAGGCATTCCCATCTCCCACCAGAGGCCATTCTCAGGCACAGCAGATCATTGGTACGTTTCTTCCTTCCCTTTAGGCCTCCTGTGCACCACAATCTTGCTAAATCTCCCAAGCTTTGATGACACGGAGGTGCACAAATGCGAAGGCAAATGTGAGACTTGGATGTCGTCAAGTTAATTCCAAATCGTCAAGCTACAATGGCTGGAACTGGTGCCAACTGAGGTTCCACCTGGATAAACTAGTAAAGTCTGGCCTCAAGGTTTGAGGCTAGAATGCTTCAAAACTCAGGTTTTAGGATCCAAGCTACTTTGTTGATAGAAATTGCAATAGTCCCTGGGACTGTGGACCAGGTCAACCTTTCACTTGGTGTGCTGTGCCATACCTCGAGTTGAACTAAGATTTCCCAACATTGCAAATAGACTCAACATCTGACCCCATGAAAAGCTGGCGAAGACGCTGCAGGAGGTGCAGGCGCTGCAGGACGTGCAGCCAGAGGGTGACGAAAGTGAAGCTTACCAAAGCAAAACACCATTCCCTTGTACTCCACGACAGCTTGGCTGGAGAGCTTCAGATTGTCATGTCCAGAGATCAGCACAGAGCCGGTCGCCCGCCACTGGCTGCCCACTGGCGTGAGCATTTCCAGGACCTCTGGCTCACTGGATTTGCTGTGCTTCGTGCCTCGGTCGCCCGCAACAAGAAGAACACTGGCCACATGAGCAGCAGTCCCAGCTGTCAGTTTAACATCAGCTTCAGACTCTGAGCAGCAACTTGGGTCTTGCTCCACAGTTTCTTTGGCAAACTTTCTTGGGCGATGGGAAGAAGGATTATCGTCAGACACTGGAGGAGCAGTTTTCTGTGCTCTCTGAGGATTCTATTGCAGGAAGCGGTGACCACCATAGAAGCTCTCTTTGCAAGCGTTCCAATCAAGGAGGGGGGGAGATGTTATATGGGTTCACAAAAGCAGACCGGGCACTCCCAACAGCCTCACAGGTGAAGGAACACAGTAGGAGACTGAAACCCCTGCTGTTTCGATGTTGAATACAGCAATTCATATATAAATATGCTCTGTGTTAACATTGCACAGTTTTCTTGGTGACAATGTTCAAACGTCCCATCACAAAGGCATCAAAAGGAAACGTGGCTGGGATCAGAGCCGATGACCCTCCTCATCCCCACATCTTGGAGTCATTTGATGACAGAGAGGATTTGGCAACAGCACACACACTATTGGCAACAGCACACACACTATTGGACCCACAGGTATTTGTTGTTCAGAACTTTGTCCTCCATGACGTGCATTCAACAAGACATAGGACACCACTTGGAGTACTTTCACAGCCGAAGAGAAACAAGCAGTCAAAACCCACCTCCTCACCTGGATCTGAAGATAACGGCACTATGGAATGCCACCCCACCATCCAGCCTGGCAAGAAGCTGGACTTGACCCCTGTCATAAAAATTACCAAACTGCCCTCACTACATGTGCACGCAATGCAAATTTCATGTGTCTAAGACCAGTGGACTAATTAACACAGGTCAGTTTGGCCCAGGTATACGATTGGGCCGACATAAGGAGGCAACTGATGGATCTTAGTGTGGAATAACACAATGACAATTTGAGCATGTGCTCACTGCAAAGTGAGAAGGCGTTAAGATGATCTGCAAGATAGAGTAGCCGTTCTGTTGTACCAAACCATGCACAGGCAAATGGGGCACCCCGCAGAGGCATTTGCACTGCACCAGAGGACAGCAGCATTCTTGCAACTCCCAGCGGTTGCACAGACAGCACAGCTTCAAGTGTTATTGGTTTGTACATCAAACTTGTATTCCAAAATCTACTGAATGAAAACATTGAGTGCCAAGCCAAGTAAGAATGAATAACAGTTGAGTTGAAACAACTAAAACGGTCAACATGACAAAAATCGAAGTGCCAAGCCAAGCAACAACGACTAACAGTTGAGTTAAAACGACTAAAAGGGCCAATATGACAAAAATCGAAGTGCCAAGCCAAGTAACAATGACTAACAGTTGAGTTAAAACAACCAAAACGGTCAACATGACAACAGCAGCCAAAAAGCCAGAATAGGCACTGGTGCAAAACAGGAGAAGATTTGTGCAGCACACAATTGTACGAGGCACATCGCAGGGCATGCTCTCCCTGCAGGAAATTCACACAACACTTACGAGATGGTGTCGAGCATGAAGACATCGCTGCGATACACAAAGCTGCCAGTGTCGATCAGGCTTATTCCACCAGCCACAAGGATGGCCTTGGGGTTATGTGGGTGCAGCGTGGCTGTGTGGCACGTGCGCCTTGCCAGCGAATGGCCATCCCTGCAGATATCATCGGGCACAATCAGGGAATCATGGCCCTAGGCACAACTTATCAACAATGTCCACAGTGCCCCCGCAACACGTGGAGCTGGTCATATAGCACGCTATTGCTGCTGCCATAACTTTTGTGCTGAAATCCCTTGACAGTAATCAGTTTGATGGCTTAGGGTGCAAAGGCAACTGAGGAGACAGTGACAGTGGAACACAATGCTGCAAAAGGCATGGCAACTCACCCGCACGGCTGTGGATCGGACGCCTTTGCACATACGGCAAAAATAATTGTGCTCAGTGGTGTGGCTGGACAAGTGCACAGCCCCACTTAAAGGCCAACTGCAGAGTATACAATACTTGATTTTGTTGCTGGCATCAATGTTGCTTGAATACCACAACGACAGAGTGAACTCCTAAATGCTGGAACTGTGCATGGGCCGTGCTGCCATTCCCAGCGTTCCCAGAGCACGACAAAGCACAATGGTGCATTTCGAATGCCTAAGGCAGCATTGTTCCCGTTTGCAAACTCTTTCCAATGGTCGGCTGGCACCTGGCCTGGTGGCCCAGGGAAGCGGAATTCGGCCAGCAGACTCCGGCATGGTCCTCACCCTCACCTGGTGCTGGGCCATCTGATATGGAAGCTGCCACTCCTCTCTGTCTCAGGGTTTACCCATCGCAGGGTCTCCACATCGAAACAGAGCACGCCATCAAATATATACTTTGTGTCCTGACCACCAATGACCCATATCCTGCTCCCCACCAGCGTGGACGTGTGGTGCCCACGGCCAGCCCCCAGTTCCCCAACCTTCATCCAGCTGTTATTCTCAGGTGTGAACCGAAGAACGTCACTTAAGTACCTGTGCAATGCATCAATGCAATTTCGTGGAGGTTTTGCTTGTTCTGGATGCCCAAACAGTGCAACATCGCGCATGAGGTCTTGTTGGGCAATCACACAGATGCCAGTATTTGTGCCAGTGGTGAAAGAAGATAGTTGCCCGACTTTTGCTTGCCCATGGAGTGCTAAATATGGCAGCAGACCAACGGGCATTCCATGCTCCTTCCATCTGCAGGAGGAACTCGGTGGCAGATCGTACGGAAGTGATATTCGCAAACAAGAACCAAGCCACGTGATGGATGTTCTGATATGAGCAAAAGGATGTAGAGCCTCCTTGCTCCAAAAACGCCCAGTTATCACTGCCAAAGATGCAACGCAGATGGGAGCAAAATGCATAGAGGACAAAAATTGCAGCTAATGTCCTGCAGGTGCACTTGCGTTTGCAAAAGTGAATTCACTTATGAAAACATCACAGCAGCGCACAGCATCCCACAATCTACGCTCGATGCGTACAAGAATCGACACCTAATGTTATGCATATGTACTTCCTGTCATTCAGAGGAGACTGCGGCACTTGCGCGCGTTTGTACTTTACATCGTTGTGCTCTTTGCTAATATGTGCACACATTACCGGCATTCCTTTCGCCCATCAGCACAGAGCATTGTGAGGACGATGTGATGGGCTCCAATGAACACAATGGAGGAATGAAGGTCGAGCGATTGCCGCAGCATGCACAGACACTGCCGATGCGCTAGACATCCATGTGCCCAAAGTTTGTTGCCACACATCGGCAACGAACGTGAGCCATTTTCAACGCTTTGATAACGGAAGCCACCACATAAGGTTGGGCGGAAAGGGTGAGCGGAAAGGGCCCAACAAACTCGCACATATCCGGCACGGCGCGTATGTCGCCTCCCGAGCCCGCAGACCGCATTTCCCTGACCCGCGACTCGGCGTGATTCCGTGGGCGCGTCGCGAGAGTCATGCGCAAGCACCAACGCCAAACCCCAAAACCGCGCGCCCGCAGCAGGCGCTCGCGCGCAGACGCCGAGCACCGTCCGTCCCGCAGGCCGGCGGGGAACAAGCCCCCCCACCCCCCACCCCCGCCTGCAAAGCGCAACATGTCGTACGCTTGACGACAAATGGACGCGCACAACGGAGAGCTGATTTCAGGCGAGAGCGAGCCGCACGGTTGCGACCGGTGGTCGCTGGCCCAGAAAAAGGCCGAGCGCAACGTCCACCGAGGGGCGATCGCGCTTGGGTCTCCGTGACTCATTCCTTCAGACACCGTTCAGCGGCGTCCGACTGGTGACAACCTCGGCAACAGGCGGCATGCCCCCATCCCCGTCTGCACCGCTCCGCTTAGTCACCCCCGGACCAGAGCCACGCCCTGGAACAGGACGGCGAGGTCGCAGCGCGAAGGGGGCCCCTTGCGGCGCCCTCCCATCTCAAGAGCGGCGGAAAGCCGCCCAAGCCCCTTTCCCCACCGCCATTGCCCCGACAATGCCAAGTTTACTAACCGCCGCAGACCGCCAGGTCGTCAGGCGCAGTCAAGGCGGGTAGTGAAGCGCGTTAGTACAGGCACGATAGTAGCCGTCGAGGGCCGCCAAGGTCGGGCGGCGGGGGCGCCCACAAGGTTTGGGCTGGTGGTCAAACGGCCGCAGCCCTGACGGTCCTCAACGGCATCAGATCGCCGCGAGCGGCCGGCCCCGGGGGCCGCGATCGCGCCGTGGCGCGGGCGGTCCGCATCGATTCCAGCGAGGGCGCGCGCACACGGGGTTGCCCCCCAGTGCCTGGATCAACCGAGCCTCAAAGACGGCAATAACGACAAAAACTTCCCACTGCTGTGGCCCCGCCCGGCACCCCCGAG